CTAAACTCAGTTAGCCCCCCCCCCCCTAAAATTTTGGCTGAATCCGCCCTTGAATATGGGCATAATTCATGAAGCAGGACCTTTGAGTTAGGAATGTGATTTTTCCCGTTTTAGTCAGAAAACATAAAAGCACAAAAATTCCGTATAGTCTCAGATGGCCTAACTAACATTCTCGTACCCAAAGATTTCTCAGCTTTCTAACGAAATTTCGATTTTTTGGTGRGAAGGGACATGGTACGTATTCTGAATCAGGTTTATACAATATCAAAATAATGCATGTATCAAAGTAAGAATTAATTCACCTTGTAACCATTAATCTTCATGGCGAGTGCCCAGCCACCATTATCACATCCTGTGATATTCTCCATGATACAATACACTTGTGCATATTTGTCATCTGGAAGCTTTATGCTGTATATTCCACTACAAATGATATTTATTCCTCTTAGTTTTATATAAGTATTTTAGCTATTTCGAGAAGTGTACTTGATTATTTTGGAGGTCAAGATTAAATTTTATCATTCCCAGTTTTCACTGTTGTAATGCCAATGCTTTAAATTTCAGAGCTCGTGTCAGCTTTCATATAATGAGCCATAATCAATAAACCCATTCAAGTTGAGTCACGATCATGTCATTTCTTTGAGTGTAGTTATTGCTCAAGCTTGGCCAGGCCAAGGCGAAAGATGCATGTAGTTCTAGGGTAGGGCTCAATCAAAGAATCTCATATACCAAAGGGAGAGCCACATGGTCTGAAACATTGCACACTAGTTTATCGAATTGTTGTATAACCGAAAGATCGAATAAGTCCAACCCTACTTACAGGTGTTTTAGTGAGATTACATCGTTGTTCACGCGAGCTAGGTCACAGCGAACGAGACATCAGTTAATTTCATAACGATTCTTAGTCTCAAGCAAATTTTTAGAGAGTTCTAATACTTACTTTGTTTTGTTGTTAATATCAGCGCAAGAAGTAGGTTCACTTTTCGATTGTTTGAAGGCTGAAATAGAGCCTGATAAAATAAAAGTATGTGACTGATAGTCAATTATTGACAATTATTGGATGAAGTCGAGTATAGTATGATATTGTAAATTATAAAGATATAAACAGAAATTATAACCACATATAGAAAGAAATACCGAAAATCAAAACCAAGTCGAGTAATCTCTAGAGTCCCAGGCAACATTTCAAACCAGGAACATAAACTCAGTCGAGATTGATAACTAATTCTGAATATGAGCAAATAAAGGAATTGGACAGTCACTCCGGCTTTTTTAAAATATATTTATTGCCAAGATGACAATAATATGCATTTTTTAAAAGAAACATCTTATCTGGATACGATGGGGTTCGAACCACCGTCAGAAATTCAACTATAGATTCTACTGTGCCCGCATACCCCCAGACATCCGCAGAGCTGAGGCGTCGTATGGACTTCGGACCTTACGGCGATTAAGGCCTTCTGCCCTTGGGTGCCCAGCCGGCCCCCAGACCATCTACAGCTAACCCCTTGCATCTCTTCCACACACGGAATCGATTGAATAATTTATGCTAAAAAGGCTAGCATATCTGGTGCATTGTTTTCATGGCTTTCCGTTATGCTGATTCCGCCCAGTGGAATAAAACTTGGGCTTCAATGAAAATGAGTCTGAATCCAGTTGAGCGAAGTCTTACCAGAAATGGGTGACCAGCACTGAGTTTCACGTATATATGGTTTGCACTTTTRGTACTTACCATCATCTAGATCTGGGTCGTTCATGAATCGCTTTTTTTGAGGATCATATTCACCAAGCTATTGCAGAAAGACAATAACACAAATTTAATGTAAATAGCGAGTTTTCTTAGGGAATACTATTTTCTCAGTAGGCAATGACTACTCCTTTGCAGTGATTTTCAAGAGTGAATAGTATTCGAAAAACCGATGCAAAAAAATTTTTTTTTTAAATTCTGCCGAACTACATTTACTCATTAGTTTTTCATTATTATATTGATAATATTATTTGAGATTTTTAGTAAGAATAAAATTCAGGCATTTGATAATCATTACCTTCTTGAAATGGGTAAAGTCTGGACTTCTCAAACTACTATCTTCAAGCTCTGAAGAATTGCTTTTACGATAAAGAAGACAAGCTCCAATATCTTTACCATTGAAGCTTGACAGTGAACAGTTCTTTTCTCGCAAGCAACTAAGCACACAGTTTAATACTTGAGTTTCTCGTGTAAAAGAAGCCACTTCAAGGCTATTTCTTTCAATGTCCTTCTCTCTCGTTACTCCAAAGAACGACGAAATGACTTCAGCATTGATCAAGGAAGCGATACCAAGGCCAGCAAGACAAGACAAATACATGCAAACTTTTACAAAAGTTCTGCTAGCAAACATATTGCAAAACATTTTTTCTAAAGTTACGTTTTATCCTGCTTTTTTTATTTGTTCTTGTATGTCAGGTGTAGTCAGGTACGTTACAAAGTGTTTTTAGTTTGTGTGTTTATTCGGCCGAGGAAATAAGTGGTACTGTCAAACCTTTGATCGAAAAGGTTCCCATTTGGCTAAGTAATTGACTTTAGGTCGGTTAATGCGAATTTTATTGTCTAACCACGATTTGAAGTGCCAACAACTGTCATATAAAGTTTAAATTTCCAAGGAGATTCACAAACGTACAATATCACAAAACGGCGAAGGTTTGCACAGCTAAATAAATCGTCGAAAACAATGCATAATAAAAGTTTAACATTGTAAGAAAACGTTTTTTGAGCTTTCGTATTGGTATTAAATGTAAAATCTCAAATTGAATTTGCTTTACTTTTGTCTTTTGGAAACTAGGTATTTTCTGTTCAGTAAATATATCATACTGTTTAGATAAGTTCAAATGGTGTTACGTAAGTACATCAGCGAGAATGTTCGAAAGAAAGAAAAAAAGAAAGAAAGAAAGAAAGAAAGAAAGTAACGGAAAGGAAGGAAGAAAGAAAGAAAGAAAGGAAGAAAGGAAGAAGGGGAACTTTATGAGATTAACCTGGAAAAGAAAGCGTTGACTTTCGCGAGACAACGACAGAGGAAAATATTAGTGGAGAAAAATCCTCGAAGCCGCCAGGAGCAACAAGCAACTCTCCTCACATACGATGACAGGTCCTATTCTATCACCTGTCTTTACCTGACTAGCGATTATAGTACAAAAACGAAAGACTAACCAATATTCAAATTCAAACCATTAGTTCATGTTTATTAAATGGCAAGTTCGAGGAATACACTGAACTAATTCAGATTTAATAATATTATAATATAATTAATAAAGCGCCTATCCAGAATGACATGTGAACAGAAATGACAAAAAAATACGCTCATTTATGAGCCCCACCCCCCAAAAATTTACACAGTTATTAATAATATTTAACRAAGTAACTTTCTAAGAGCGTAGAAGTGTTCGATTCAAATATAGTTTCGGATAAAAGCTTTTCTTTTCCTCTGTTTCTGTGAACGGGTTTGCAACATCCATCAATAAAAAGAAACTTTAAAGCCCCGTTTACACTAGCGATTTTTGCGGCGATTTTTGATGCGATTTTTTTTTTGCGATTTTGTCCATAATAAATAATGGTAAAGAATTTACTTGTAAAGTTTTATTCAGAATACCAAGATTTTCCTAGACGAATGTCTCTTTTGAAGGATGAGACAAAAGATTTCATATTTCGGAAAATTGCCAAAAAAATCGCCAGTGTAAACGGGGCTTGATATAATATATTTGACAGTTGAATTTGTCATAATATGATTGCTATTTTTGGTTCTAGCTTTATCTATCCAGACACTGTACATATTTTTTCCTTTTCTGTTAGACCATATCTGCAAATTTAAATCATTTTGCTAGTGATAATACTATGATAAGCTACCCAACCATAAATCTATATGAAAGGGGAAAAAAACCAAATTTGAGCCCTTAAGTACTTTACAATAAATTCTTTACAAGCAGCTATACTTCTCATTCAAGCAGCCATGTGGAAATTATTCTTCACATTTTATTAATACCCTGAAACAAACTCTGGGCTGATCAAAGTCAGGGCATAGGTAACTCACAGATTGAACCCTGAAACAACCTCTGGGCTGATCTAAGTCAGGGCATGGCTAACTCACAGATTGAACCCTGAAACAACCTCTGGGCTGATCNCTGAAACAACCTCTGGGCTGATCTAAGTCAGGGCATGGCTAACTCACAGATTGAACCCTGAAACAACCTCTGGGCTGATCAAAGTAAGAGCACGGCTAACTTACAGATTGAACCCTGAAACAACCTCTGGGCTGATCTAAGTCAGGGCATGGGTAACTCACAGATTGAACCCTGAAACAAACTCTGACTGATCTAATTCAGGGCATGGCTAACTCACAGATTGAGCCCTGAAACAACCTATGGGCTGATCAAAGTCAGGGCATGGTTAACTCACAGATTGAACCCTGAAACAACCTCTGGGCTGATCAAAGTCAGGGCATGGCTAACTCACAGATTGAACCCTGAAACAACCTCTGGGCTGATCAAAGTCAGAGCATGGGTAACTCATAGATTGAGCCCTAAACAACCTCTGGGCTGATCTAAGTCAGGGCATGGGTAACTCACAGATTGAACCCTGAAACAAACTCTGACTGATCTAAGTCAGGGCATGGCTAACTCACAGATTGAATTGAAATTTAGCATGTTAGGTTTTGCAGAGAGAGGAAAACCAGAGATCCACAAGAAAAACCCTCAAATCAAGGTGGGTCCAGATATTGAACCTGAGACCTGTGGAAGGCAAATGTGCTTAGGATATGAAATAATATTGTAACATTTCGTATAGAAATTACTAACAGTGCTGCACACTTCAATAAAAATCATTAAAAAATAAATATAAGAATTAAAATTCGTTATTAGTAAGATTGCTTGAATGAAAAAATTAAAGCCTTTTACAGAGGTCTTCTGTTTCGTCCAATAATATACATGTACCTCTTCACCTCAGGCATAATGTTTTCCCATTTCATATCTTTGTTTAACAGTTGCACAAGAGAAGACACATGAATATGGATACAACTCAAACAAAGAATCTTAATTTCAAGTAAATGACACGTAGTCTGAAATGGGAAAACATTACACCCAAGGTAAAGAAGTCTATTCAAAATGATGACACTCCAATATGTCAGTGAATTTCCAGTCGACTTCTTACCAAGAAGGACCTTTTTTTTAAATAATCATTTATAATAATTAATCAATCAAGTGATTGATAATCTAGGAGTTTGTTAAGTAGTGATTTTCAGGTTTGCGTTGTTCCTTCGACATAAGTATAACCAGAATACATTCTTTTCCTATAAGAAAATGAAAAATCAATGACATTCAAGCAATACTCTGAATTGAAATATGGCAACCAATTTGAATACTATTGTTCTGCACTGACTAGTGACTGACTAGCTTCTCATACATATGAAAATGTTTTTATGTTCCATGTGAACATGAGGCCAGTAGGCAGTCCAGAACAATAAATATTCAAATTGGTCTCTATATTTAAACGTATTACATTGATAAGAAATAAATAACAAAATGAGTGAATAAAATAAAATGGATGGATGAATGAACAAAGAAATGAATGAATGAACAAACAAATGAGTGAATGAATTAAAAAAATGAATTTCAGAAAAACATTGTCATTTAAAGAGCAGTMATGATAAAAAGGTCAATTATAAACYGTGAATAGATGAAAAAACTTACTGACATTTCGGACCCTAGTCCTTGGTCGGAGTAAAAGAGCCGGYCTAGCRTCCAAAACGTCAGTTTTTTCATCTTTTCACAGTGTATAATTCTAACTTTTTATATATATACTGTTTCATTAGAAACACCGATGCAGCTCACACTAKTTTTTATCTAGTTATCTCTTCATTTAAAGAGCAGTCAAGCACAGTATCCAATTGGAATATGTGAATATCAATCTTTGAGGTAAGAAGGTTTGMAGAAGCCCCATTCCCCCCAGCATAGGAGATTAGGAATTATTCCCAGCTTGCATTAGTGAGTCACAAGTAGGCTTATATAACCCCTCCTACCCATGCTTTTATTTATGAACTATACATCATAAAARCCAACAGCTTTGTCTTTAATACAGTGAGTTATATTTACTTACCGTCTATTGATTAATAAGGCTATAGGAATGATTATCAAAATAGTTCCACCAGCAATGCAACCCAATATTATAACTAGAGGTAGTCCTTTCTATTASAAAAAGAAAAAAACCATATTCAATATTGAAGTCACAATAAAAAAATAACACAAATTTGGTGCAATGTTTCGAAGTCGACATGTCGTCATTATCAAGCAAATTTAATGTTGATAATAATTGGGAAATTTATAATATTTCAAATATTAATACATGCCATATGAAACTTAGTCTACAAGACWAACTTGCACTTAAAGAAATGACCTTTTCAACTCTGAAAATTTGTCATACATTTTTATATAGAGTGGTTTTCTTAAGAGTGGGAGACATATATCGTACACTACTGCTTTACAGCATGTATGGTACAACATACTGAACACTGAAATGCCTTTCCAGTAATTCATCCAACAATGGCATGTAGTTACAGCTAGGGTAAGATATGGTGTGGCTATGTATGTGTATGGCTATGAATTTTCCATATTATCGTTCCCCACTCCAAAAAAGTATTTACCTTGATTAAACATTTGTAACCAATCCAGTTTTCATCACACAAGCATTCRTAGAACCCTGATGACAAAGCAAGAGTATTATTGAATGGACCCAACATTTTCACTGTTCAACAAACAAACAGGAGTGTTATATAGTCCAACGAATTACCTGTAAACCTCAATTTTTCAGCAACTACRMAATATATCTTCCTCAGACCCTCACCACCCCTCAGAAATTCCAAAYTCCCTCTATGGGGGAGGTATGGGGGAGGTTYGGAYATTTTCTGCTTATWTACTCTCCTCAATCCTTTGCCTACCCTTGGAATTTCCAATCCCCTCCATGAAGGTAGTACAGATATTTTCTAATACATACCTGGACCATTATTGCTGCATAGTGAATTATATGGACATGATACTAAAGAGGAAATCAGAAATTCATTAATTCATCCAGAAAAAAAATATCTTTCAATGATGTTGATTAGTGGGAAAGGTTTGGGTCCTGCATATTGAGGTAATAGATATATGTCAAAATAAGCAAAGCTTAGGCCCTGGCTAAATGAGGAAACATGTTTCCAGAAACATGTTTACCGCGCACATGTTGCCTTCGTTGTTTCCCAGTTTAGCCACATGCGAAACATTGCTACGTGCAACAACTTTTGCTTCCAAGACGCAAAAAATGTTTTTGCTCTGCGGCAGAAACATTTCATGTTTCCAAGATGCATGGAAACATTGTTTCCCGATGTTTCCTRACAGTTTTGCCACCTTAGGAAACATTTAGGGAAACATGTTTCCTCGTTTAGCCAGGGCCTTACATCGCAATCAAATTTAGCACCAATAACTAAGACAGTTCAAATGCAAGGAAAATTGGGTTGAAAATAATAAGTTATAGTCAAGTTTTTAGACCAAATTCAAAGTGTTTATTAACTTGAAAGAAATGTCCAAAACTCTAATGGACTGTGTTAAAAAGGGATAGAATTAATAAACACAAAYAAGTGTCTGAATACCATTATAGAGGTTACAAGTGCTTTTTTGTGTTAAACACACTGTTGAATTATTCACAGTTCTTGATTGATTCCAAAGTAAATCACTGCCAGGACAGTCGCATGGAGATGGAAGAACACTAGGAATTGAAAGGAAAAGATTAATTAACCCCCTTTCTTTTCCTTTCCCATACACTGATATTCACATGATATTGTGCTTGTTCATAAATAGCCCTTTTTAGCTTGGGCATAATGTTTTCCCATTTCAGACTACATTTCATTTCTTAAAGTATCATTTCTTTTTTTATCAGAGAAGACATATAATGGATACACTTCCAACAAAAAATATCATTTGAAGAGGTCTTATTTTAATATGATGATCTAATGGTAGTAYGTTTACATAGTCTACTTACATTTCATTCAGCATTTTGAATCCTTCAAAGAAGTTTGAGAATGTTTGGTTAGAACAGGCCAAGTTTGAATTGTTTGCAAGGTTTCTGAATAAAACAACCAAAAGAACATATGTTATATTCCATGCCCCACGAAAACTTCGTATGTCTTTACAAAATCACTCTTTGGGATAGCTGTGGTTTTATCCACAGGTAGCCCAAGCTGTGATATTGTGATCTTTTGGGGGGGAGGTAGGGGGCAAAGCAAACATTAACACAGCATCACATTACAGAATTTGTTTGGCATATCCAGGATTTACTGTGAATGGGATCACTTGCTACTACTACAACTACAACTACTTTCTCAACAAATTATCTCTTCCCTGGGATCAAGCAATGCTGTTGGATGTTGACTTGTTTATCAGATACACATATATCATTGAACTTATATATTTATTATATTATTATATATATTATCCTCACTCTCCTCCCTAGAAAAAAACCCCAGTTACACATGACAAAGTTAGAAATTAACTGCCAAAGGAAAGGGGGTGACAAGCACTTATTATCCCTGGAGTATGATCCTACGAATTACAATGATATCTGTGTAATCTGACAAACGAGTCACATGCAATGGCACTGCTCACACTGTTTGCTTGAGCAATGGCTGGGCATGATGACTGGCCCAATATATTTAGAAGATCGACCGATGTGACCAGTCAGTGTRACCAGTCAAGAGAACTGGCCTAAGAAGCATTTGGCTGGACAAGCATACAGTATATCGCTTTTGGCCAGACTTCACTTATAGACCCGCTGTTATTTTATAAGCCCTTCAGAATGAAAATGTTTGACATGACGTTAGCAGGGTTGATAGCACAACACATGCATATTGTTAGTTTTCCATAGACATATGAAATTTCTTCAGTATTCATGCATATCTACTTACATCCAAGATATGTCCTTCACGTTATCCAAAACTTGTATACTTCTTATGTTACAGTTACTTAAGTCAACACTGAAAGAAAAACAACGCGTTGAGAAACCTTATTTCCTTATATTTTCTTTTTTATTTGCTGTTTAGCTTACAAAAGCCCTTTTCGAAGGGTACAGTACTGTGATATTGGTTAAATCGTTCATAAAGTCCATAGGTTGTATTAACAAAGAAACTGTTTTGTTGTTGTCAAATGATTAGTAATCAACGTAGCACCGTCTTACAGATTTAGGACGATAAATAGCTAGACTTACCCAACTGTTTTGTTGCTTGAATCAAGACAGCAACGACGGAAAACGTGGTTGTTAGGGTGACAGTTATTTTCTACAAAATCTGTTGTTTTTGTTCCACAGAACGTGCACAAAGAGGTTTGATTCATAGACTCTCTGAAGGCCGATCTCCATAAAACTTCACATATACAATCTCTAACTAMGAATGATAACAATAAAACTAAAATCTTGATCGTAAAACGATACATAYTTTTTTATAAAAAGAAATAAAAATAAGGAATCCAGGAAAATGTTTGGAGTCTTTAGATTGAACACACGCTATGTCATGTGATCCCTGACACAGGGAACCCAGCAGTTTTGGATTCTTAAAAAATATTGATAAAAATCACCTTTAGAAAATCGATATAAARCACCAAAGGAATTGCAAAATAAGCTAAAATACGTGCTATGAACATTTGCAGTAAATAAAAGAAATATAAGATTTGAAGGAATGTTTTGATTTTTGGGCTTCCTTTAGTTGGTAGTCAGCGCAGGGTCTGGTTCCTTGGTTACCTCGAAGCGCCAACCAAACCAAAATGGCGACTGAGAAAATCTTTCTTGAAAAATAACGATTTTATTGGACTTTTCTACCTTAAAAAGACCGGGAAAATGCAGCTTCGTTATATGAAAACATTGATGAACCCTCAGGTATGAGCGATTTGTGAATAACTCTTTTCAAAGTGCAGAAATCTGGTTTGTTTTTGTACAATTTTTGAGGTGAATTTGAAGTTGAAATTATTGTAAATAAGATTGGTTACCAAAGCAAATGAATGATGTGAATGTATCCAGAGGAAAAATGGAAAAAGAGGGACTTGTATGATTGAAGAAGGAATCATCCTAAATCTAAGAAATCTGAAATATATCATTACTAGGCGATTGCTGATTTTACAAAATTTACTTCAATGTGAAACTTGTTTTATCAACGACTGTCATGTCCTCTGTGGTGATCTTTCTAAATCCGTGTATAATTTTCTTGATCGTCTGATTTTTATACTGTAAAACAATAGTTGACAGTAAATAATAAGTAAAATGTGCAGGACCTTTGAAAACGAAACTATAGATTTTTAAAAACTTAGACATCCCCTTTTTGAGGGGTTCCCGAATAATTTTCAATGTTCTTTAGTTGGGGACCATATTCATGTTAAGACCTGGTTGGCCAGGGATAGGGAGAGAGCATTTATGACCTGCATCACTGATCAGTATATATTTAGACTGTTTGTTATTAATACTGCTGTCATCGGTTGCCAAAAGGGGAGCCTTCCCCACCTACCCCTCCCCCTCCTACTCAGAAAACCTATGACAGTTGCATAATGTTCGGGTGGTGTGTCTAAGGTCTCAGCTATTATCTCTAGAGGGAAGGCAAAGGCTCAAAATAATGATCAACAGACAATGTCTAGCCACGTGTCTGGAGGGAAAATGCCTGTGATACACTGTATACAGTATAGGCCTGTCTTCTTCGCCAGTCACATTGACTGTCAGTCTCATGTTGATTGATCAGTATAATATAACCAATCATCCTGGCCAGCCATTGAGCTGTTTTAATTTTAACCCATGGTCCATTCTTTTTAGGATGGTGCCTGCAAGGTCACGGCTATTGCCTGGGCACCAAACAACCAAAAGATGGCAGTGGTAACAATGGATAGAGTCGTTATACTCTATGATGAACTTGGTGAAAGACGAGATAAATTTTTAACCAAGCCAGCTAATTCCCAGGTACAATGATACAATCTCATGACAGTTATAAGAGGGCTTTCACTAATAAATTTTATTAGCACATGGGGGGGATTATTTTGAGAAGTGGTTAGGGGACTACCATATTGAGAAAGGGTTGAGAACTATTGCAGGATGATGAAAGAGGGGGTTATGCAAACATTGTTGCCGCTACCATGGAAGTGGGTTTGGACATGTTTTCAAAAAGTGTACCATGTGATTTTATCAACCTCCCACCCTCTGTCC